AGCTGTAGGAATAAATTAAATAATGGTCTTAACATCACCACTGAGAATGGAGTAAATTGCTCTTCTGCAGGATCCATTAGCTCGACTGAGAATATTAACACAGGATTCTGGGTCTGCACTGGACCCTAGGAAATAAGGCAGCATTCATTTTCATGTTTTGCTTTGCCCTTAAATGACTCTGAACAACCAGATAAGGAGGGGAGGGGACAGGAGCAGGGACAGCAGAGAGGGTGCTAGGTAGAGCAAAAGGGGGGGGGGCAAAAGGATGCGAGACAGGAGATAAGGAATGAGGTGTGGGTGGAGACTGGCGGGGAGGCAGGAGAGGGAATGGGAAATGGGGGTGCCAGACAGAGCAGAGGGGAGGGTGACTGAAGGGCAGGCTGTGTGAAGGCTGTGCCCCTTCCAGGGGCTCCTCCCTGTGCCAGGAGCTTCGGGTCGCCTTCCCCAACCCCCCACCCCCACCCGCCAAGGTGCCCTGGCTCAGGCAGTGAGTTAGATTTAACAGCACCAGGCACTTAACTCTCCCAGGAGCTCGTGCCCCTGAGAAAGTTCACAGAAAAATACAATTCAAAGGTGAGTTTATTTTGGTTCAAGAACTTGTGGAATCCAGGTATAGTTTTTTTCATCACACCCACCTTCCATGAACTCTCTGAAGACCCCTTGCATAGGAAATGGAGTAAGATTCTTGAAGGTGACAAGCCTCCAGGATCCAGGGAGCCAAGTACATGTTAGTCTGCTTGGTGGTGGTGGTGGGGGTCCCTTTAGTCAGGGCTCCTGAAATCCCAGGATTGAGTGACCTTGGCATAGAGGACAAGGTGGGTGATGGCCAACACCGAGAGGGAAGGAGAGGGAACGACGTTTGTCTCGTGGGTTTTGCAGTGAAGCCTCCGACTGCCGGTTTGACCCTCCATTCTAAGCACCTTACCACCATCCCTACCCCAGAAGGAGGCACCCATATTTGTTTTGAGATTTAGTAGTGGTGGTATAAATCATATTCATGGTAAGATTCACAGAGGATGTTTACTGCTGGCTTTGTGTCAGGCACGTGTGCAATGCATTCTTCCAGAGGGAATTCGAGGTGGGACTATGATTAAAAATAAAAATAAAAAACCTCCAAGACAGGAGGACCAAAGAGACATCCATACCCCCTGGTTGAAGGAAACTATGGTAAATCTGACACAGCAATAAATGATTTTTACAGAAATTAACTCATTTCATCCTTGGGGCCATCCCCTGCTGCCTCCCACGACGCAGGGAGCTGGGTCAGAGGTAAAGCAGCCAGGACTTGAACCAGCGTACCTGTGGATACAGGCATCCCAGCTGCAGCTAAATCCATTGCATCACAACACCCACCGGAGGTTGGTGCTTTTAATTACCCTTTTGCTACAAAAGGAAATTAGGTCAACCAAAAGTTGTTATTATATCCTTGGCTTTATTAAAAAATCGGACTTTCAAAAGTAGCAATTTCAGTCATCACTAGAAAAAGAAAATAATAGCTCTGTTTGCCACCAAAAGATGGCCCAAACTATTGTTGTCTGGAGTCCCTCTTCACATAGGTGTTTCTCCTATGCTGACCCCTCTGACAAATTCCTCTCACAGCTTGGGCCAGGAAAGACTTTCTCCCAAGTGAAACTCCACTTGACAGTGAGAGTCGTAAAAACCCTCACTTCCCTATTTCACTGCTACTAGGAAGCTGGGAGCTAAGTTTTGTGCTCACAGACTATTGTTTGTCTTAGCCAGTTTTTTTAAAAAAAGAAATTTTTGGCGGGGGGTAAATATTTGTCTTCCATTGTAAACCACCTTAAGTCCCTTTTGGAGAAGGCACAGTATAAATAAACAAAAGACAAACAAAATGCAGTCCTGTTGGGGCCATGCTAGGGATAGAATAAGTTACCAAAAATATTTTGCATAATACTCCTGCAATCATTTTATCTGAATGAGAATATTCTAAACAGAACTCTGGGCAGATCCCATCTTTCATGGTGATTATTACATTTTTTCATGCCCCTCAAATAGCATTCCCAACCACTCTGGGTAAAGACCATCAAATCTTGGGAAAATTAGCTAATTACTCTCATATGTCTTCTTGTTACAGGGATCTAATTAAAGTTTTGACTCTTGTCCAAAACTGTGCTCTAAATAAACCAATTTAAACCTACATTTATCAGTCAGGCTTAAAAGTTAATAACTTTGCTTAATTTGTAGATTTGTATTCAGTTCCAAAATTTCTTCCAGGAACACGGCCATATCATGCTCTCCTGATGGATAAACATTATACACATGAGATCACATAGCCACAGAAGTCTGTTTAAGGGTCAGGATGTTGGTAATTTAATAACCAAACCCCTATCATCTCAAGTTTGCTGCTGTTGTGAGTGGTCCTTTTAAAGAGCAGAGCCTTTTATTTCCAGAACTTTCATTACAGATGTGATTCTGCTTATTGTTTCACTTAGCATTATTTTGCATTTATGGAATCTCATTACAAAAAGAAAAAAAAAGAAAAGAAAAGCAGGGCGAATAACCAATAGCTGGAGACAAGAGCACAAATAATTAACAAAGAAGCCAGTTCTGCTTATCCAGCAAGTACTCACGGCTCAGCATCTGCTGCTTCATCCCTGTTCAATTTCAGCTTCTTATATAACCCACAATTTTACTTCCAATTATGTGATCTTTCTATTTCATTATTTTATTTATTTGACAGACATGAATGGAGGGAGACCTGCTATGTGGCAGCCTCTTATTATATAAGCATCAAATAGAGCACATACCCATTCTGATGCTTATTTTGCAACATGTCATGAAATCACAAACAGTAAATATTACTTAAAACAGTGTTTACAAATAGACTGGTCTATGACAAAGTAAATAGAAATGCTGTCAACCCATGGCAATTGGAATTGAACTGAAATTTCTTTAAGAATGCAAACTGATTAATTCATACTTTCATGCAATAGAGAAGCAAAATGACAACATAGACAATAGAACCATCTCAAGTAACCCAAACTGGGTTATGGCCCAAATATTGGTAATATATATTTAAAGTCCTTGCTTTATGGCATATAAAACCTATTATTTATGGAGATATAGAATCTATTCTTTCTCATGAAAAAGTGTGTATACCACAACTCTTCAAACCATACCTTAGTCTTACGTGGATAAAACAGTGTTCCTTTGAAGCTATCGCAAATTCCTAAGTGTCTTACCTATAGAATGTGTATACATTAGGGGACGGTTTTCTTGGAAGCCCATAAACTTCTGGGCAAGAATCTTTTCGAGGTCCCCATCCAAGACCCTAGCAGGAGCCTTAGCAATACATTCATGTGGTGGTCTGTTTTTTATACAATTCGTCTAAGTAAAATATTTTAACCACAGTCAGCTGAGACCAAGGTCTATTTCCAAGGAGACTTTCTGCTGTTTTCCCCTGCGTTGGGTGGTGCTACAGCCCTTTGGGCATGCTTTATTTATTTATTTTTAAAGCGGACCGCCCAAATTGTATAAATTTCAAGCTTCACAAAGCCTGCATGGGCTCCTAGGTGTGACAGCAGTACCACAGGCGTGTTGACATGACTGAGACAGGAAATGGATAACGCCAGACGCATTATCCGGTGTGTGGAGGCAATAGGTGCTAGTGTTTCTTTTTTTTCCTTTTTTTCCTTTGGATTTGATAAGGAAGCAGGAAATCTCTGCGGGGACCCTCCAAGTATTGTGGGCCTTAGGGCCTGGGCTTCACAGGATTCTCCAGTATGAATAATGGTAAATTTCCCAAACCATCAAGAGCTCCAGAACGGGGTAAACAAAAAGCAGGGTACATCTGAAAGGGGTTCCAAGTGCACATAATACAAACACGCTTTCCCAGCAAGGTCTCAGCCACGACAGACAGGAAGCGTTTGGTTTCAGTATTGGAAACACGCACATAACAGAGTGGGCCACTGGGAGCCGGTAGCGCCCACTCATATCTTGCTGTGCAAACAACGTATTTTCCTCTAAGGAATCTACTTTTCGATCAAGAGGGGAAAAGTTGTTTTAGAAAAGAAGTTTCATTTTGCCTGTCTGCAAATTTGCTTTGGGATTTCATCCAAGATTTTTTTTTTCTTAAAAAAAAAAAAAAAAAAAACACCATGTCGACCTTGGTGCTGGTGCATCCAGTAAATCACAGTTCAAACAAACAAGCCGCTTCCCTTGAAAGGTGTGTCTGCGTAGTCCTATGGCTCTGCGTGCCAGGGGCTCTCTCTGGCACACTGCTCAAACTTTGCAAAAAATTAATCACGCCATCAAACGCGTCCGGCCCGGAGCGTAAACATCTTCCAGCGCCGAGTCCGCGCCCCCCAAAACGCGCTGCAGCTCACTTCATTTGGTGCATTCCGCTGGAAGAACACCGAGGCCAAGTGAAACTGCGGAAATGGAGACAATGCACCGAGGAAAACTCTCGCCCCATTAAGGGATCCGTTTCTTCTCTGCGCAAATAAGCCCACCACGCCTTCGGAGGCAAGACTGGATGGCTCCAGGATATTCTCAGGATGCACCCGCGGGCCCCTGGCGCTCCGGGAGCGGGAAGGTGACCCGCGCCGCCGCCTCCCCCGGGGGTTAGTTCAGGTGCCCCACAACGTCTACGAGCCAGGCATTCGCCCCGCTCTCAGCCCGCGTCCCAGCGCAGAGCCGGCCGAAGCAGGCAAGGTCTGCAGCGCGCACTGACAGCGCTGCCCGCAGGGCCGCCGCGCGCTCCGGCCCGGCCTTCGGAGACGATCTGGCCGGGCCCGGCCGCGGCGCTCCCCCCGGCTCCCTCGCGACCTTGGCGAGCTTGGCCCGGCGACCCGAGCCTCGAGCACAGGCACCACCCTCGGCGCGCGGGATCGGCGCGCGGCCCCGCAGCTCCGACTCCCAGGGGCGGTCCCGCGGGGGAGCACGCGCGCACGAAACACGCGGGGACTTCCCGCCGGGGCGCGCGGGGCGGGGCCGGGGGCGGGGCCGGGCCGCGGCGCCCCCAGCCGAGCGGCGTGCAGGCGCCGCCCCCGCGCGCCGCAGTCCGGGCTGGAGCGTCTCCGTCGCGGCAGCCGCTGTTCCCGTTGCCTCGCGGTGGCTCTGGCGGCTGCTGCGGCTTGTGGGGTTTGCGGAGGTCAGCGGGCCGCCCCTCGCCCGTGGCCGCCTGGAGCAGCGCAGCGCTGGGACGGACCGGGGAGCCGAGGCGGCGACGGCGGCGGGTCGTGCCGGGCCCCCCTCTCCTCCTCGGCTGTAGCCTGGGGCAGTCTGCGGACTCCGAGCAGCCCCGGGGCGGCGGCCGAGCGGACGGCGGGGGCATGGCGAGATAGCGGCGCGGGAGCGGCCCGTGAGTGCCGGGGCGCGGGTGGGCGCGGCACGGCGACGGGGAGGCTCAGAGCCTGGAGCCGAGTCCCGAGGGCGCGCGGCGCCGCGAGCGCCCGCGGCCCGGGCCGAGTGGGGGCCGCGCTCCGGGCAGCGCTGCGCGGGGTCCTGCGGCTCTCCCTCGGGTGCGGACTCCCGGGCCGCGCGAACTTTGGGGAGCGAGGTGCGAGGCTGGAGGGTACCTGGGGGTTGGGAAGGAGCCTTCAGATCTGTTGCGTTTGGGACTGGGGCCCGCCGAGCGGTGAGGTGTCCCCGTGCCCGAGCTCCTCACGGAATTCCTTCCTGGTCCCTGCCCGTACTTAGGGTGCGTGGGGGCTTGCCTGTGTTTTTAATGTGCCTTCACTCGAAGGCGCTGTGGTCGTTTTAAACCCAAAGTGTCGGCGGTCAGAGTTGGGCTGTGTGAACGATGCTATTTCTGAAAACGTTGTCGGGCAGCGCCGAGCCGGACGCCTCCACACGCACGCGTGGGCTTGAGTAGTGAAATTCTGGTCCCACCGTCGGTTCCCCAAATCGCATGCGGTCTTCTCTGTGCAGTCGGGTGCCTGTGTTGCGCGCCTGTCTCTGTGTGTTTAATGCAGTCCAATGTTGATACAAAGCGTGTTGTTGAACGCCCTGGGTAGGAAAACACGTTCTTTGCATTTCTTTTTAAGGTGCTCTTTTAAGATGCTTTTTCTTTTCTTTTTTTTTTTTTTTTTTTAAAGAAGTTTCAGTTTAGACTTTGCCCTCCAAGCTGTGTGTCTTCAATTCCAGATTTGTCTTTAAAGTATTCGCTTGGAGTAAGATTAGTGTGACTTAGCGGTGTCATTTGGTCAGTGGCTCCAGAAATGATCCCGAAACCGAAGCAGACCTCCCTCCCTCCCCGGCAGATGCAGAGTCCGAGTGTCTGTTAGGTACAAACGATGCCTGCCCCTCCCCGTCCGTGGTCACTTTGCTGCAAATCTGAAATCGTATTTCACTTGTATCAGAAAAGGTTCCTTGTCTAAGCTTGGCAAGGGGAAGGAGGGCTAAGTATAGCCCGCGTTTTTATAAACAGGACGCTGTCCTCTCGTTTCTGAGGTGAGGTAGCAGGTGGAAGCTGTGCCTTCGCAGTCTACGGTATAGCAGGTTGCAGCTCCGCTGGAGCAGAGGTGTGTTTTCAAGGTGAACTGAGCAGCTGTTTCTTTTTCCTCCAACAATTGGCTGGGGCACACTGGCTTCGCAATATGTGAGATCCCATGAGGACCCCCTGAGGACCCCTGTCGTTAGGGGAGACCTATAACCCCCCCCCCCCACACACACACACATGAGAACCAGGCACTGGGGGAGGGAACCCACTTTTGTGAGTTTTGCATGGAAGGGTGGTGTTGGCTGAGTGTGTTGGTAAGGGTAGAAGTTACTCGTGTTAGAAATTATCGTGGGAGGGCAGGCAGTGTGTTCCCACTGGAGAAGCGTCCAAGGGTATGACATGAGAGCATAGCAGGTCCGCCGGTCCCAGCCGCCCCTCAGCCCCCAGCCCTGAAACCAGGGTCATGTCTCCTTGTGACTGTCTTTCCAGACGGAGCCTAATGCTTGGACAAACCGTCCCTCTGTGTCCTCTTTATTTGTCTTTCTGCACATCAGGACATCCTGTATACTGACTTCTGCCCTGCTCCCCTCCCCCCAGTACTAAATCCTGGCAGTTCCTATCAGTACCAAAGAGAGCTGTCTCATCGTCTAACAGCTACTGAGAACTCCATTAAGGACGAGCCATAATTTATTTAACCTCTCTTGTATTGAGACTCATGTAGGTTGTTCCTATTATTTTGCTATAAAATTATTGTCAGGCATTAGTTTTTGAGGTTTTTAAGTGGATTCCAGGGACTCCCAGAGGGCGGGCAGCCGTTAGCTTGTCTCTTTCCACAGCATGGCGGGAAACAGAGCCCCTCCCTCGCAGCCTACCTTGTTTGTTCTTTGCACCGGGGGCACCTCTGGTGTCTTTGCTGTGAAGTGGGAGCCACTGTGGACAGTAACTGGAGTCAGCTGCAGTAACCACTTAGGAAGGGAGCAGATAGACAGTTTCAAGATGGGCTGGAAGAACATTTGGAGGAGATGAAGTGTTTCTGAGCAAGGAGAGAGGGCTGATATTTTTCCTGCGGTCGGCTATGGGATTAGCTTGTGTTCCCTGGACTAAAAGCGTGCCTCCTGTGGATGGTCAGCCCTGTGGTTTAGTGTGCAGAATGGCTGCACACCTAAAGCGGGGAGGGGATGCTTTTTCAAAATATTCAGCTTTTGCATTTTTTTTCCTAAATGAAAATTTGGGGTCTCAGAGCACCTTTAAAAACAGAGTAAACTATAGTAGTATTGCTTATGCTAGACTGGAGCCTACTGCATTACAGAGTTTGAATAAGAGCCAGCGTTGAGCTTTGATATTTCCATTATGCTTGTTCTTGATGGTTGTAAGCAGTGATCTTTTGAAAAATTTACTTTAAAAAAAATCTGATTCAATCGGTTAGCATATAAAATATTGTCTTTTTCCTTTGTTACTTGCTACCAGTCGTGTTTGTACACAGTTAATATTGTCTGCATTTGCTCTTAAGTAATGATTTATTGGCCATCTGTTACTAGTCCAGGGAACTTGCTGGGGACCCTGTCCTGACGAGTTCCCATCTTAGAGGGGGAACTGGGTAACGAGCAGAAGGGGAGCAGTAAGGGAGGTATTAGCAGATGAGGGTAAGGACTTGGATAGGCATGGGAGCGACAGCACGGGGCTGCGGTTTCAGATAGGGTGACCCCAGCCGATTTGAGAAGTCTATCACCTGAACTGTCCAGCCAGGCTCTGGCCCTTGGCATTGCCTAATCAGGTGCACTGCCCACATTTTCTCTCAAATTGTTGCTTTAAATGAATTGTACTTGATTGCTCTTCCATGAAATTGAAGTGTGAAGCCTTCAAGACACACCTTTTCCAGTAAATTACAGTGATTTCTGAGGGATTCAGTCAGCATTTTCACCTTTGATTTCAGGAGAGGAGCCCTTTGCTTAAGTGCCAAGTTTTCAAAGATGCCCTCTCTTGTGTATCGACTTCTAATTCCCTTGGGCGCGTGACAGGCCACAAGGAGCAGGTCAAGGTTTGCGCCCTGTGCAGGTGCTTTTATTCCCAGCGGAGGAATGTGTGCGCGCTCTATTTTAGGGAGTATCAGGAACTTGTGGTATTTCCTCTTCCCAACTTCTAATCTGTTTCTCTTTCTAAATATATGTTCCTTTATATTAATTGAAAGCTGGGGAAGTGTGTTTTAGGTCAGGCAGTTGTTACAGATGTCTAATAAGTTGCTGCTCTCCTCTTGTCCATGGCTTCTGGGCTTTTCTTTGCTATAAGGAGTTTCGTGATTTTGTAGAATTGAGAACTTTTTTTAAATTTCTTATTCTAATTGGTTGGTACCTGGACATCATAACTTGTTTATGTGCTAGATAATTTTCTTTTCCAGCTTTCCCTCTGGGCTCTGTGTGAACTCTAGGTGATGGGTGAGTTCTTGAACGCCTCAATCCTAGTTAAAAAGCCTTGTCCTTTTGTCGTCATGCTTGTAGCGAAAGCTTTTCAGGTACATGGCAGAAGCATGCCATGGTTGCTGTAGACTTCACAGCTTAGGTGTTCAAGTTAAACGTGTATGTATCAGGCATTTTCAAGGAAAGGTCAAGGCATTGGCCTTTACATTCAGTCTTGCGAGCTGTAAGAGTTCAGGAATTGCAGATTTGTCTTAGAGCGTCTGAAATGACAACCAACAGGGACGTCCATCCCAGTTGCTCGTTGTGCCAGTGCTGCTCAAGTGAGTAAAGCTGTGGTTATGGTTTTGTGTTGGAAGTTGAGGGGAGGGGTGTGGATTTTTCATGTACTGTAGCACAGTGTGGAGGAACCGTGGCTCTTACTCATACTTCTGGTGTATGAGGTAGATGAGAGGAAGAATTGGCTGCGGGCGTGGAGTTGAGAAATGTGGCAGAGTCCTGACAGGCCGCGAGGAGGCAGTGCTGCTTCCTGGAAGTGTGTGTCCCTGTGTCCGTGTGTCCGCGTGTCCGCCCTCTCGCCTCTGAGCCTTAGGAGACCTGCTCTGCCTTCCTCCAGCTGCAGGCTTCTCCAAGGAGACCCTGATCCAAGGACAGTCGGAATGGTGGGAATGTGAGGTGGAAAATAACAAGTGGTGACAGAAGCAGTGGTTCCCAGCTCTAAGATTAGAAATGCTAATTAGGTCAGGGAGTTGAGGACATGGTGTAGACAGAATGGTGTGTGCCCATTGTGTTGGGGGTGGAAGTAAGCCCGAGAGAGGTGAGACTCCACCGTCAGAACTTGAGTGCTGCGGCCTGAGGGCACTGCAGCGCTGAGGCTGGAGCTTGTTGCACAGGACTGCATGCCAGCTGCCCCAGGGTGCGAGGCCTGGGACCCACCACCGCACTGGGGTTCACTGAACCCTTAGTGTTACAGTGCAGTGCAGGAGTAAAACCACCAGGACGTGTCGGAATCTCTCCAAGGACACTGTTAAGATTTGGGCTTCATCCTACATTGATTCCTGGAAGGTACCTGTGTGGGGGGAGGAGTGGGGAAGCCTGGTTCTGATTTTGTCTAAGAAGTTCAAGGAGCTCAAAATGCAAAAGCTCTTGTAAGTAATAGAAAATTCAGCATTCAAACAAAACCAAAAAGAGTATGGGCTTGGAGAGCCCCGAGGGGCCCTCAGAGCATCTGGTCAACCTCTTAGACCTGGGGGCACTGGGACTTGCAGAGTGCAGTGGTTCCTGACCGGCCTTGTCTGGAACAGCAGCTCCTTGGAGGTAGGAACTCCGTGTATGCGAACAGTGCCTACTCCATAGTGGGCATGCAGGTAAAAGAATTTTGAGAACTATCAGTTGCCACATTAGCTATTAGATAATACTTAGAAAATTTGAATGAATATGAAGTTTCATGAGTTTCTTATTTAAAAAAAATAATAGAACATGTTGCTGTTAAAACCCAAACTCTGAAGT